TATTATTAATATTATAACAAGATAGTCGATGAAATGTGAGTGTAAATATATAGTTGAGCCTTTCATATTCAAAAGTAATTACATTTCAAATGTTAAATTAAATTTTTTTTTTAAAATATCTTAACCTTTAAAAAATATATTGACAATACGCCTTTCAGAAACACTTCATTAAATATATGATTGAATATGTCAAACTTTAATTTTTCATTTCAAATATTTCATTTTTCAAGATTGCACAATCAAAAATGCATAAATCTTATATTCTTTTTTCTTTATATATATATATATATATATATATATATATATATATATATATATATATATTGTATATTACGTGTTGTATTCAATTTAAAAAGAAAATCATTTATAATTATAATTATACTTCCGGCAGATTTTCAACAAAAGCATTTCTTTCTTTTTAACATTGTTATATATGCAATTTCTATTATTATATATACTTATATAAAATTGAATATTTTCGAGAGAATATATAAAAATATATTTTTTATATTATACCTCTTAAATATAACCAATACTATAAAAATATATAGCCTTTTTTCCACTATAAATAATAATTAATCACTTTAAAAATAGTTTAAAAGTAAATTGAAATATTTTGAAATTTTTTATTCAAAGGATAAGAGATTAAAAAAAAAAATAAACTTTTCCTCTTGATTACTAAACCATATTCTGCATCCAATATATAAGAGCAATTTTCATTTATATTAGAATATTTTAACAACATAGATATATTTTCCAATATTGGAAAATTTTTTATTATCGATAATCTTCGGTTGACATTGTATGTGTGTATGTGTGTGTGTGTCTGTGCTATAGCAATAGAGAATGTAATTGCTTTTCTGATTGTCATCTTTCACAAAATTGCATAAACATTAATGTAACCTAAGTTTACCGCACCAAATTAAAAAAACGATATTGTTTTTTTTCTTAGTTTAAAAAAAAGAACCTAAAAGAAAATTGTTCTCTAATTTTTCAATTTAAAAAAATATATATTTCCTTTTTTTAAAATTATTGCAAAATGCACCAATAAGAAAATGTAATAAATATACGACATCTAAATTGAAACCATTCAAGGATGATATTATATATATATATATATGTATGTGTGTATTTATATTCCTATTCGTTTTTCCTATATATACACAATTGAAAGAGAAAATCTCATCCAACGGAAGAAACTGGTTTGCAGTTTTATTGAAAGAGAAAATCTTTTCCAGTCAAAAGTCTGATTTTTCCTGTGTTTACTTCGCTACATCAATCCTGATCAAGATACATACAACCAAACATAAAAGTATACAGAATAAATCTATATTGATATACACAATATAGTAACCTACTGACATGATTAAATCATCTTTTTACAACTTAAAAGACTTCTTTTTTTTTCTTTTTTGTGAAAACAATTTTTTTTCTTTTGTTAAATTTCTAAATATTTTCCAAGAATATCAAAAAAAAAAAAACTTGAAAATAAATTTTTCAAAAGATCATGCCCAAAAAAAGCACGTACATATATAACAAAAACAAGAAATTGCAATTTAACTCTAAAGACCTCATGAATAGTAAATACGTTACTTGTACCTATCATGTATAAATACGAGTCGTAAATTAAACTTATTTATATATGAACCTCTGTATATAATATAAAATGGAAAAAATCATGTTAAAATATTACATGAAAATTTTAGAAAATATACGTATCGTGCATACAGATGTAAATGAAAAATACGAGAGAAGCAGGGTTTCGTGGCTAATATTAATATTATCATTGTTAAAGAAAAAAATTGTCATGGAAACGGTTACTATATGGTAACTGTTACCATGGCCGTTAGCTGTTACGTCACGAAACTAAACGTTTATTAAGATCAAATAAATATTCATTTGAATTAAGCAAATTTAAAATAACCAAAAAAATTTTGTCAATACAAAAAAATGGCTTCCTGCACAAGGAAGCAAAATGTTACATTTTGTTCAAACAAAATTTCTTCTCGTTAAATTTTGTTCCAACAAAATGCGACATAGGCGAAATACAAGATTAATTTTGTAAAATTGTCTCAATTGATGTTGACAGGAAATAGAATTGCATTAGATGTCAGTTACACATATGTGTTCAAAACTATAGGGAGAATATGACAAACGTAAATCTCGACTGCCTACAACGCGGCTAGTTAGTCACGTGCGCGCAATCTATTTACAACACAATATTATACACATATATATATATAACTGCAACATAATCATAATCATAATGATCATATGCACTATGCAAACCATGCAGAATATTCGTTATATATACATAGAGGGGGTATTAATAATGTAATATCTTGTCATATTGTCCAACGAAACATGATAAGGCGATCAACAAAACGATAAAAACAGTTGTACTACATCAGCGACATCAATCATCTCTCACATATATAGAAAAAGCGTTCCACACTCCTCAAGTTCATTTTGAATTAGAAAGACAACTATATCTACCCAGTACATCATAATTTATATAACCTACGCAATTACTATATTTCTAATCAAATGTGTCTAAGTGCTCGATAACTTAATTCTCAGAAAGCAAATTAAATATGTGCTAATCAATTCCTTTTTGTGAATAATGAGAAGTAATTGCAAAAAACGGGACTTCAATTGAAACCATAATTGATGATAAAATTAATTGTGGTTTCAAATTGTGAAAACAATTAAATACAAATGTGACATTAAATTTATAATCAGTGACCTCAGAAATCGTCGAGTAATAAGTTTCAAATCAATCAATAATGATTTTTCATGAAACTCATTTTGAATTTCGAAAAATTTTTCTCCCTTTTTTCTTTATCAAAACTTTAAAAAACCGGAAATTGATTTTATGAATCTTTCAGGTCCCTTTTTAACAGATCAGATAATTATTTTCAATCACAGAAAAAAGCTGGACTCATTTTTATTGCAGTTCAAAATGAGCCAAACGACATAGAACGTGGCGCCACCTACTTGACACATTTTTGTTGCACTTCAAATTGTATATACGTACATGCGTACGTTACTCATTTTGAGCTCAGATTTTTTTCTGTGATGGTAATTTTCTTCGATTATTTTTAAGTGGAAAATTTTTTTCAAAAACTTGTTTATGAAAAAAAGAAAAATATATTATTTAATATTTAAAGAATATGATATTACATATACAGCAAATGCATATATGAGTTATCGCCGGCTGCCAAGTACAGGCGGCTTCGTGACCCGATATTGCCAGAACAGTTCAGATATTGGCAAAACTCTACTCTCGAGAAGGAAGAACAATAGGTGGCTCTGTTATCAGTCGTGAGATGTGACAATCCTATTTAGTTTACTCCCCAATTCGTCATAGTTACGTCTTATCATATATTCAATGTACTCATATATCTTTTATATTTACGTTATAATTTTATCCCACTAAATAACAATTTATTAATTTTTTTACTTACTTACAATAATATTCATTGAAAATGTTTGTTATTTAAAGAGAATTAAAAAGAAAAGAAATACATTTATCTCAAAAAAAAAAAAAAAAATACATACAAAATTCATCGGCAAAAGTAAAAAAAAAAGTCTTTTATATAAACTTGATATATAAAGCAAGATGTCCATCCTAATTTCAAGCGTGAACCAAAAGATCGAACTACCAAAAAAGAGGCAAAAATCAACTGCCACCGCAAAGAAGCCGAGCGTATAACGATAAACGAAACGATTGTTACTTTATCCTTTTTTTTACCGTCAAGATTCTGACAAGATGTTATACACATGATGGTCATGCATACATGAAATGTAAATGCGTGTGACTAATATATACCATAATATCGTTTAAAAAAAAAACACATTTCGACTTTTTAAATAAATCAGAATAAAAAATCTATAAGCAAAAGATATATAGAAAGAAATGAAAAAATATATTTTTCTCTAATTAAAATATATAATTTATAAATATATTTTCTTTAATTTTTAAATATATTTTCCTTATATAATATTTTTTCAATACAGTAAATAATTATGACAAAGCAGAAATGGATCATACGCTCATTAAATATTGTTATTTGAATCAGAAATTGGAGCAACTCCAGATATATTCTGTTTGATCTCGCGAGGTTCGGAATAATTGATCTCATGATAATGGTTATTTGCTATTAGCGCAAGAAGCCAGGAACAAGAAAGCATCATTAACAAAGAGCAGGTCATACCGGAAAGCTACATATATAACATATTCATTTTGAAAATTATTTATCCTCAATTTCAAAATTAATAATTCCCCTCTATGCACTGTAAAAAGAAGGTACTAAAATAGTACCGATTTTAGGTATCAAAATAGAACCAAATGACAATTTAGTACCTAAAGTATAGATATTAAATTAATACCTTTCGTTTTACAGTGTGAACAAAATTTCATCCCGAATTCAGAGTATTTTTTTTTTCTAAACACAAAAAATTACAAAGTAAAATTATAAATTTACAACTTTTTTTTTTCTCTGGTACAATATTTACAATTAAGATATTAATGGACCGCAAGAGATTCTTGAAAAGGGTCAACTGAAAGCTTCTGAACATTAAAAGAGAATCTATCTCACTGACGATGTAAATTTTATACAAGTATAAGAAATCAGTTTTATATATATATATATATATATATATATATATATATATATATATATATATATATACGTTCGCAACGATGCACGAATAAGATCGAACGATTCAGTAAAATTTACCTCCGACATAAAATTCAATTGCAAAAAAGTCGCGCGAGAATCCCGTGTGCCGTTCAAGAAATGAACTCAATTTATACCTATCTGTAATACACGATATATATTGCATCACTAGTATAAAAATGAATTCTCTTTTTAACCCTAAAAAAATCACACATACTATTCATATATAAAAATAAATAGGTATAAAAAATATATATATAAAAAATTTTCTCTACTTGCCAAATAAATGAAAAATAATTTTTTTCTTTTATGTTTCAGTTGAATCCATCGCCTTTCTCACATAACTCAATAGGGTTGCGACTCATAAAAGAAATACCTATTGCAAACCATCTTCAACAACAGCGTAAATTTAACTTAACATTTATTACTCAGAAAATAAGACACGAAGATGTTGGAAGACCTGACAATAAAATCGAAAGAGAAATAATAAATTTACTCCAGACGAAAATATTCATAATAAAAAAGTAAGAAAAAAGAAAAAGAATACAAGAAATATAACTTCATAATATAAGCTTTTGATGAGAACAAAACCAAATTACAAATTGTACGCGAGATGAAACTTGCTAATCAACAAACAATGAGACTCCATGGAGTTTTCATTTATCTACAAAGTCTTGTTCAATTACGACATCAGTCTGTTATAACAATCGAAACATAAAACAAGAGATTCATTTAAAAAAAAAAAAAAAGAAAATGCCAAAGTTTTGGTATACAGAGACAATAATTTAGAATTGAGGGAATAATTTGGTCCTGAATTCTCAGGGAAGGAGAGATGTCACTTCATCACAAGTATTATGTGAGTAAATTAAATTTAATTAATTAATTTAATCCTACAAAATGATTCTCCAGAAACAATTTAATTGGGAAAATCTTTTTTTTTTTTTTTTTTTTTTTGAAAAATATAATTATTATCAGAAATATATTTTACTAAATGCTGCGTATACACGAAACATGATTGAAATTTTATTATCACATTCGCTCGCTAATTGTGTCAATGTTTGGAAATGGATTTTCGAACTAATCTGGACATTAAGAAGGTTTTGGGGAATAGAAGTGCCAATATAGGGAGAGAGAGAGAGTTTTACCTCAAAATCGATATATCCGGTATTAACGTTACGTCACTCTGGTTGTACATTTACGGTTATCTATTATGTCTCAGCCTCGGCTCGTTTCATACTATACACAATAACTATAGAGAAGACCATGGATCTCGGATAACTCCTCCATTCGACCATCCTCCTTCTTTAGTAATTCCTTCATCTCCCAACACGTCCCATAACAACATCAACAAGTTCGATTTTCAATTTCGCAAATTTTTTATACATTCCTTTCTTTTTCAAATTATACTACTATATCATAAACCAACAGCATCTTTAGATTATGATTGATTATTGTCAGTAAAAACAAAATCAATCATTTTTAAAGTTTCGTGACTCAGGCCCGAAAGCATAATTTGGTGTCCGTCCGTCCATCGTAAACTCGTACGATTTCCATGGTAACAGTTACCATACCAACCGTTTCCATGATAACTGTTTCCATAGCAATCGTTACCATAGCAACCGCGTTACCTTATCAGGCCACGAAACCCTACAATAGAGGCGCCATGCGCCTGCTTCTCTCATATTTTTTTAACTTTCAGAAATACTTATTACTACTTAAATATTTTTTTATCATCAAGACTTATAAAAGTTCTACTGCAAAGAATTTCGAATACAAAAATTCAAGGACAAATTTATATCAGATGACATTTAACTATAGAGCTCAGCATATCGAACAATATTTGTGAAGTATTTCAATTCAGTGAAAACCCACAATATTCAAATTATATAACAAATATGTACATAATAATGCGGAGAAAGTAATAGAAATACAATAAAGAGACTTTGACTCTGATTAGGAACATCAAGATCTTATATAACAATGTTTAATGTAAACTGAGACGGCAATAAGAAGTTTGTCGAGACTTTGAAACACAATGAAAATTAACTATTGCGCCAAAGTCTTCCATATAGTTAATCTAGCCAATCTCTCATTAGCACTTCGTTTAACAATGAAACCATATCAACATATATTGCTATATCTAAAATACAATACACCAGATTTTCATTCCATTTTCAAATATAATGTTAAAAATTTCAAATATTTTATTAAAAAAAAAAAAAATAGTTTGTAAAAAAAATCGAATACATTGTTAACTATAGGAATTACCATCAATTAAATACGAGAAAACAAATGTTCTTTTGTTTTCGAGAGAAAAAAAGAATATCTTAAAAGGCCATTGTAACCAAAAGATCAACGGAATAAACATTTCAATCGTGCACATATATATATAAAAGGATGCAATGAATGATGCAGGACAAGCAGAGAAGATAATGAAAAAAATTTTTGCATTCGTATACTTTAAAACGAAAGCGATGACAGGACTTGAGCGACTGCGAAAGGTGGTGATGGTTCTTAAGTGCAGTCTCGTCCCCGCTGAACGTGCACACGTCAAACTTGGAAGAGTTATAAAGATGACGGAAATTTCTGGTACACGTGACATCCGCAATTCTTATATTCCGTATATTATAAATATACACGTTCATATACATATATATATACAACAAAATTTAGTTTATTAATCCATCACTTTTTATAGAATTTTACTAGAATTCAACATAGAAAAAAAAATTTAACTATTTTTCTTATAGAAATTAAAAAAAAAAAAAAGAGCAATAATTTAATATAAAACCTATGTGAATAAACAAATATATATTTATAAAAAAAAGAAGATGCGAGAGAAAAATATGAAATCCTATGAAGATTATAAAAGGAGAAAAAATTAAATTGCCACTATAAGATTTCACCAAGAGTGTCTATTGAGCAAATGCAAGGTGTTACCAACAAGCCCCTCTGACGCGTCCTACATTTGCATTTGTAACCTTTAATATCTCGAGGTATTTCTTAGCATTTCCTCCTCCCTTATACTAACTAATGCTGAAAGCAATTTCCGCTCCTTGCATCTACTGAAATCAGTATATATATATATATCTGTAGAAATGAATTTTTTTTCCTAACACCAAGCTTTTTTCAAAAGTTATACATTCAAGAAAAAGAAAAGAAATTTTTTTTAAAATCCACATCAATTGACATTATTCTATGATGCTTATATTTTTTTCGCATTTAAAAGTAAAATATAAAAAATACAAGACAAAAACCTTTACTATATATATAATATGCAATCTCAAAAAGCCATGAAAAGAAAGTCAAAGAGAGAAAACAAACTATCATGAAAAGAATACCAAGAAAATCCGACAAGTATATTACAAACTTCTGTATACATTTTTTCACTTTGAATTCCGCAAGAAAATGATTTGAGACAAGTATTATTTTCCATGTATCGATACTATTGTGTTAATGGAAAAAAAATTTACTATTGTCACTTTATACTCAAATACAATAATAAAATAAACGAAATAATAATGCAAATAGGTATATATTTAAAAAAAAAAAATTTACACCTTTTGTTGCACGCGATTGATGAAACAAATAAAGTTTCTTTCTATCAAAAAAAAAATTTGTCAAAGAAATTGATTTCTTTGAATCAAAGAAATCTTTTTTCTGTGTATATAATAAATAATAGTTACAATTAACGGTACTTGCATTATATGACAGTTACATTATATACTAAATAGCATTAAACAACGCTGAAATATTCAATCGACGCGACGATAAAAACGAATTATAAATAATTGAATAAATTTCGTTTTTAAAAGGTTTCAAACTTCATTCTCACGGCATAAAAAATTCGTGCCACATATGTGTGTGTGTGGTATTAATTTGTTTCATGGATGACAATGGAGTTGAGCGCGCGAATTTTGCATTACTTATAACTCTCTTTGTGTATATAAATTTAAAAGCATGCTTTTACGAATTGTAAATATATATATATATATATATATATATATATGGATGTACGTACACTCAAAAAAGGATTGCATGTTTGTTTTCGTGTGTGATATATACTGAATGAATAATAACCGCACTTGCATATCGAGTAACTAAATATCGTTATATATATATATAAATATCTGCGAACATTTACAAATCAATTCTTTAAAAGCTTATAATGGCTAATGTTTATTCATTATCGTCATCTATTAACGCATTTAAATCTTTTGTAAATGCTATACATATATTAATATATATCTTTCACTTTTTACATGAAAAAAATATTTAAAAATTTCTTTTCAATTTTTTTTTATATTTAGTTATTATACTATATACGGATTTGAACGTTCAATTTGCAAATGGCAACGTCAATGCAGCTGGATTTTCAAGGATTATACGTTCGCGAGAGAGGTAGCTACCTCTCTCTACTAATAGGATTAAGTCACACCTCATAGGAAGAGACTGTTATCAATTTACCTTAACAATACCAATCTGCATATCTCTCGGGCAAAAAATATGCCATTTTGAAATATGATTGTTATATTTTTAACACCTATATATGTACCAGCAGAAAAGAAATCCTGCGAATAATAAAAGAGAGAAAAATATGCTTTAAAAAAAGCCAAGTCTTCTATATATATATAAGAAAAACAAATTGATGAAAAATTAATTCGAATATTTAACAAAAATCTAAATATATTTCTTGAACGATATCAAATACATTTATATATAAAACTCAGAATAAATAGGGCAAGATAAGAGGGAAGTATATAGAAGAATCTTGCGGCAAAATTGCAGTCGACACTGCGAAAAAACATATATATATATATATATATTTTTTTTTGCGTAATTGTGCGCAAAGCATCGTGTCAAATAATAGTAAATGTGACAATGCTAAAAGGGTTAGTTTAAAGGTAGGGGTAGGTCTACTGCCAAAACCCGCGACCCAGATACCGATCGACCCACCGACATACACCGGAGAGAACCCATCCTGTAGTACTCTGCGTTTCAGTACCTCTACCTCCCTTGCGCCTCTCTCTCTCTCTCTCTCCCTTCCCCTCCTCTAACCATTCAAACTCCCTCTCCCCTTTCTCCCACCATTGTTTCTCTCGCCTGCAAGAACCCCTTTATCCGCTTCGTACTTCAACCCCACGAACACTTATCCCCTCCAAATCCAATGTTAAATTTGAAAATTCCCGTCCGGGTTACATCTCCCCCTCTCTCACTCTTCTGTGATGAAATCAACAAGAAAAAGTTCAATTTATTAAAGTTGGAAATTGAAAAAAATTAGAATATAAATTATCACAGTTAATGTAATGAAACGAAAAACAAATGACAATTTAGTACTTAAAGTCAGTATTAAATTAATACCTTTCGTTTTACAATGCCGTCATTTATTTAATAATTATTAAATAAATCTTTTCATACTAATTCAAAATATTCGAACATTGATAATTCAGAATTTTTAAATTGTTCCAATCATTCCGTAGTTTACTTTTTATTTCCTTATCCAACATTTTTTTTTAGATCGTGTTTACATTTAGCCTCGTGTGCACTATAAAAAAAAAGCGAATGTGTCAACATACAAGTATAGACAAATACCTGTTTGTATTTCCGTATCCTACGGCCTGGTGCATCACTCTGAATAAAGTGCACTTAAACGTATCGAAGAACCATGGGCTCCATTTCCATAAATACCAATGGACTTGCAATTCGCTCGGCGAACACATTTTGTATAAAAACTTTAAATCAATTTCACGTGGGAATTACTAATCACAAAAAAAAACAAATATTATCAGAATTTTTTCTTTCCTTGAAAAAATTATTTTTCTTCCACAAAATTGTAGAACATAATTTTCAAAGAAA